TGGGCAGGTGAGGTTATGGGGCACCAGGAGCCGGGCAGGTGAGGCCAGGGGCCACCAGGAGCCAGGCAGGTGAGGCCACAGGGCACCAGGACCTGGGCAGGTGAGGCCGTGGGGCACCAGGACCCAGGCAGGTGAGGTTATGGGGCACCAGGAGCCGGGCAGGTGAGGCTGTGGGGCACCAGGAGCCGGGCAGGTGAGGCCGTGCTGGGGTGGGACACAGCCAGCTCACAGAGTGAGGATGAGGTTTCCTTTCACCTTTTTGCTTGGTGTCTTTTTTTTTCCCCCCCCAGTTGTTTTCATTTTCATTCCTGTTGCTGGAAGTGTGTTGAGTAATTTCCCCCGAGTTCCCTGGCTGGATCAATGTGCACAGTTTAGCAGAAGGGAGGAAGGAGCAGCAGGCACTGGCTGTCAGACAGTCAGGGAGGGTTTTGTACCAGCAGTTGAGCTGTTCCAGCATGAACAGCTCAGCACAATCTCTGCTCCCTAGAAGTCTGCAGGCAAGGGAAGGTTCTGCATTAGGTCATTGCCTCCTTCTGGTACAACTGGTGTTTCATTTGTTAAATGTGTAATTCATACATTGTGGATTTTGTCTTCACAGGCAAGACACAGGTTTTTGAAAGATCCCTTTTTTAAGTATTAAGGATTTTATTTGGAGAATGGCTTCAAACTGTCAGAGAGTAGGTTTATGTTGGATGTGAGGAAGAAATTGTTCCCTGTGAGGGTGGGGAGGCCCTGGCACAGGTTGCCCAGAGAAGCTGTGGCTGCCCCATCCCTGGAAGTGTCCAAGGCCAGGTTGGACGGGGCTTGGAGCACCCTGGGCTGGTGGGAGGTGTCCCTGCCCATGGCAGGGGAGTGGAACTCGGTGATTTTTAAGGTCCCTTCCAACCCGAAGCAGTCTGTGGTTCTCTGGAGTGTGGGCCCTCCTTGGCAGGGCAGAGCAGCTGAGAGGAAGCAGTTTTGTAAGAGCACAAAAGGGAACATCTAAATGCGGCCAAACAAGTTTCACTGTGGAACAGAGAGAAAATAACTTGCACTGGGATGAGTCAACTCTTCTCTGTTTCTTGAGCTGTTACATAACCCTGAATCATGCCCCAAATCCCATGTTCCACAGCATGGGATCTGTGCAGTAAAATTCACTGGTGCCAGTTGGTTTTGTGACCTGTTTCCCTGCGGATGGTGGTGCTGGCCTGGCAGGGGGAGGGCTCCTGCAGTGACCTGTCACCGTGACCTGGGGCTGGGGAGGTGCCCACACACCCCTGTCCCTGTCCCTGCTGCAGGACAGGTTCCTCCCAGGCTGTCCCCCACGGGGTGACCCTGGGGTGTGTGTACAGCAGCCCAACCACATCAGGACATAAATCCCCACCTTCAGTAAGGAAACAGCAGTTCTGCCAACCCTGCTCTGCTCTGACTGAATTATTTCTTGTGTACAGAACCCGTGGGCTCTGTGTGAGTGTTCCCTCCTTCCAGGATCAGTGCCATGGGGAACCTGTGTGCAGAGCTGACGTGCTGCTGCTCCCTGCTCAGCTCCGAGTGCCTGGGGGTGGTGAAGGCTCTGTGCTGCTCCTCAAACCACGTCTGGGGCTTCAGTGACCTGCTCTGCAGCGTGGATGTGAGTTTGGTATCTTCTGAATGCCTGTGACACCTGTTTACCCCCTGTTTCCTTACAGGGGTGGTGAGGCTTCGGTTCTACACAAAATGCAGAGAACAGATTCAATCTTGTATCCCTTTGACTTTTCAAGGCTTTTCGTGAGATTTCTGACTGGTTTTTATTCCTTCCAACATCTTCAGAGTTAATGTAAATTTGAGCAGTGCTTAGAGTTTTGTCTTTGTGAATGTGTTCTGTTCTCTGTGAGGGGATGATGCAGTGCCAGAGTGACTCCTCAGCAGGAGCAGGTGTGGCCATGTGCCTTTCCTAAGATGTTGGTGGATGTGGAAATAACTGTCTCTGTTTTAAGGACCCTGTTTTGGTGTTGGCTCCTTGATTGCAGAATGGGTGATACTGCTGTGGTCAGCAGGATTACAGTGATGTGATCCAATACTTGATTCCATATATTTACCCTCAGTTTGGGGGCATTTGCCTTTGGGACCATGTTAAAGCTGTGTCCACAGGGACATTCCTCTCCTGAAGCCAAGGAAGGAGTCTTGATGTTACCTGGTTTTACTGAGTGCTAAAACTTTCTCCAATTTTTATAAGACTAGTTTATTCCTGTTGATGAAATCATTGTATTTTCATCTGAAATGGGGCTGTGAGGAAGAACATTTCCGGGCCTGCTACTGGGACCTGTGAGGTCCTGGGCAGATCCTGATGTCCATGTGGGGTCCTGGGCAGATCCTGATGTCCATGTCCCATCTTCCACAGCCTGTGGGGATCCGGATGCTGAGCCTGGGGCCAGGATGACCTGCCTGCTGCTCCTGCACCTCTTCAGGACACCCCAGGTGTGCCTCTTTGCCCAGGAGACAGGTGAGTTGTCTGCTGCTTGGTCCTTCCATTGCAGAGAGTGAACCCAGAATTGGTTTTTGGTGGCTGCAGATGTTATGGGTGAAAATATCCGTGGTGCAAGTTCAAAATTGCACATTTCACTGGTGAGGGGTCGATACCAGCAGTTCTTGCTGGTTTGGGAAATGGTTTGGATGCAGGTAAAACTACAGGATTTTGCTGAAACTTATTCCTTATCAGCACCTGGCAGTGATGAAGAATGGCAGTGACAGAGGCACTAATGAGGATACACATTGTGCTGTTTGGGAGCTTAGCGTGGAAATAGAGAGTAAACGTGATTTCAAATAGGGTAAAATAAAGCATCTTGTCCAACAGAAGGTACATGAGAAAATTAGTTCTCAGGATATGTTTAGGTAGTTCTCTTTTCTTTTAAATGTGACTATTTTCAGGTCTGATGTGTGTTTGCCACAGAGCAAAAAAGGAAGAAAAAAGGCAAGGAAAAAGCACCTAACAATTAAATGCATATGAGCCTGGTGATAACCTGTGTTACATATGTGTGACTTCTAATATTTCAGCAAATTTGATAACAAGATTATATCCATGGGAAAAACAAATTGAAAGAAAAGTCAGCTCTTAAGTGGTGTCAAATTCTTCCATCTAAAAGTAATAGTAATTTCTTTTCTGACATAAATTAATGAGCTTTTTTGCATATTTGAGAAAAAGAGGCAAGAGCTGTGAGGAATACTGCCTGAGAACAGACGGACGTGGCCTCCCTAGAAATAGAAGTAGATTTGGATGGATAGGAAAAATCATGACTGAACCATAGGAAGAAATACACATCAAACACAATGAGACCACATTACAGACCTTCCTTACACCTGGCTCAGTTAACTCTGCCTCAGAGAGGTGATGGATTCATCCTTCCCCTCATCCTTCCCTGCCTTGCAGCCTGTGCCTCTCCTCCTTCAGGTTGCACAAAGCACTTTGTGGTTCTTCAGGCTGCAGAGCTGCAGAATTGAGTGTAACTCTGCAACAGGCATGGACAGCACTGAATTCTGCCTCATTTGTCACTCAGATGAGGTGAGGGAAGTAATTTCCTAAATCTGTGAAGTCAAAACCAAAATAGGCTTCAGTGTCTCGTTGTGGTTAAATTCACTGTTCCCGTGGACAGAGTGACCCAACAGGCTTCTTTTTCTATTTCCATGCCCATAGCTTATTTTGATATTAATCCATCACAACCACATATCCCAGCTGACTTAATGACTTACCTGTTGGGCTGCACTTTCATTTTCAGAAGATTTCAGTTCTTCATTCAGTTCTTGTACTTCTGTAGCTGTTCCAGCTGAGGAGGATTTCACACAAAGGGAATGTTAGTTGGTAAATAACACCCATTTTCTACAAAAATCTGCTCTTCTCTCCGTAGGGAAATTATTTCCTGGGATTCGTTCTTCCTGTGACCGTCACCTCTTGGCTGCTGCTCACAACAGCATCGAAGTGGGAGCTGTGTTTGCAGTTCTGAAAGCAATTCTGATGCTTGGTAGGAGTGTGCAGTCCTGTGTGATGTGTTTGTGCCAGTGTTTGGGTGGAAAACAGCTTGTGCTAGTTCACTTCCCTGGGAGTGCTCCTGGGGAGGGAAACCCCTGAGGACAAGGGAGGAATGTGGCTGCTGTCCCTGCTCCTGCAGCGTGTGGGGAGTGCAGGCTCCAGGTTAAAGGCAGATTTTTCCCTGGTGAGTCAGCCCCAGCAGAGAGGCTTTGAGCAGATGTGACTATTTCAGATGTTGACCCCGACCTCTGCCCCTGAGCCCCAGCACATTCAAACTCAGGAGAGTCCCTCTCACATATAGAGAGCAAAAAGGATCTCAGATAAGTTTTCCCACCTTTTTCTGTGTTTTACCACAAATCCCGTGTGTCTGCCATTGTGGGAGTTGTCAAAGCATCACCCTGAGCAGCTCTCCATGGACGGTGAGTGTTGTTTTCCAGACAAGCATCTGCCTCAGAGCTTTGGTTTGGCTCAAGTTCAGCTGCAGTTCTTGTGACCTCTGGGGAGGTGTATTTTTGGAGCTCAGTAAATGTCTGGTTAAACAAGCAAGATGTTCCAGCTGTGGCCGTGCCCACAGGGTACCCCCAGCCAGAGTGGCACTGGGACAGGCTGCTGGTCCATGGCTCAGAACCTTCAAAACCCCTGGGACCCCCAATAACGGGACTGTACTGGGGAAGGGTGTTACAGGCAGAGCCAGCTGGGATAGACTGGTGGATTGGAGAGTGAGATTGGAAAATGTTTATGGCCATTATCTATGCACTCTTGCTGTTTATTCAGAGTGCTGAGATTTAGGATTTTCCTTCATTAACTGTGTGTGGTTTTATCTCTGCAGGGACATGGTTTGGTTTGGTGCAAGGGAGTACAAGGGAAGGTTTAGGTACATTGTTTGTTTGTGCCTTTACTGCAGCACTTCTCCTCCTATAGACCCAAACCTCTCCCTATTTGGAGAGGTCTCTTGTTGGCACCCTGCATTAATAATTTAAAAATTGTAGTTGCTTTGAGGAAAAACATCAGATAAATAGTAGCTGTTGCAGTTCTGTGCTGAGGAAGCTGTTCTAGTTTTATCAGAGCTTTCTGGGATGGCTTTAGCTTCATGTGACCTTGGTTCCACTCTCTTCACTGCATTATTTGCCTGCCAGGTTCTTCCCTCTCATCCTTCCTGAACAGAGATGTGGGCTCATAGAAAGGTTGAGGGGTCACTCAGTGGCTGAGGGCCCCTTGGTCAGACTTATCTCTTGATCTACAGAATATTAATAAATCAAAATAAGAGATAAGACTTGGAAAAGGGGCATCTGAGAAGAGCCAATAACTCAACTCTTCCTTACCTGCCAAAGCAATTCCTTTCACTCACCTTTTCCTTTCGAGCACACAGTGGCTACAGTTATGTTTGATTTGTGTAAATCTTTTCCTACTTCCAAAATACCCATTAAAAAGATGCTTTGCAGCATGAAGCCAGAGGACAGTACTTTGGTGATGTTCAGAGTCAGCCATTGCTGCCCTTTTGGATGTGCTGGCCTCAGTGCTGCTCAGCTCCTGGTGCCCCAGAGGTGTCTGTCTGTCCCTGGGGTGAGGGTTGGGGCTGGGCTGGGGGCTCACCCTGTGCTTCTGCTGGGCAGGTGATGCAGGAATTGGCAGCAACAACGTCAGCTCCTTGAAGAGTGAAGAGTTTCACGTGAGAGGCTTCTTAGATGAACTCAATGAGGAGGAAATCTGGGGTTCCTCTCGTGCCTTGAAATCCTGCAGAAAAACCATTTCCATGGAAGCCGCTGGTCTGAGCGAGTACGGGGATACTGCTCAGAACATCTGCCAGCAGGGAAAGCCCCAAAACTGCTCCTCCTCATTTGGAGAAAGAGCTTTGGTTATTGAAAAGTGTAACATCTATTTTGGCGCAAAATTAGTGCTGTATTTTGGCTGAAATAAGTTTGTTCTGCTCCCGGTTCCTCTGAGCAGCGAGGAGTGTGGCTGGTGGCCCCCCTGGTTGCCAGACTGCCCACCTCGGTCCAGGGGAGGGCAAAGCTGCGGGAGAGGAGCTGGAGAAAGGGCAGCATTTGGGGTCATCTTCTAAGAAGGAAAGAGAGAGACAGAAACAAAAAAGGTACGACCTTGGGGAACCCCTGCAGACAGAGCTAAACCATGTTTGTGAGAGAGGAGTTTACTGAGGACTCAAAATTTGATCAGCTCCAAGGGTTCAGGTGTCAGTTGGGCTGAAGGAATAGGATTGGTTCCAAGAGAGGAAATGCAGAAGCTTTGTAACCCCTCTGCCAGGGGCTGTGCTGCAGCTCAGTGATGGGAAATGTTAGGGATGGAAAGGAACAGGTAGAGCACTTGTTGTCCCTTCCCTTATGTGGCATTAGGCCTCTTTGCTTGCATTAAGATCACACCATTGTCACTTCACTTGCTTCCTGTTGGGAATTGAGCTCATCTCTAACTTTCCAAAACGTGTGAGAATTTTGACTAAATGGTTATTGATTTTCCTTCAGTAAAACATTCTTCCACGGTGCCTGTAATGTTTTTGCACTTCCCTTGGGGTTATGCTTGAAGTTCCACTGAATTAAGCCCACGTTGGAATTTTAGACCAATTCAGGCAGCTCTTGTTCTAATCAGAGCTTCAGGGGAAACTTCCTTGGGGTTCACTTCAGACCAGTAGCAAGGATCAGAAACTTTCGCTGCCTTATCTCTGTTAAAATGTTGTCCCTGGTTAATCAAAGTAGTCTTAAATAACCTGCCCTGTTCCTGAGTCAGGCCTTCAGGTGTGTGGGCAGTTCTTGGTCACTCAGGGCCCCCTGAGCCAGGGGTTCTCAGTAACAACATGTGTATCTGGGCTGGCTGGGGCTCTGCCTTCCTGGGGCATGGTCTGTAATTCCTCTGGCAAGACTTTAATTGACTAAAATAGAAGCAGACATGGATGCAGCAGTGCCACTGCAGGGGAGAAAGCACAGACAAAACAGGAAGGGAAGTATCAAAATAACTTCACTAATGCAGTGTTTGCTTCTCCTAAAGCATGTCCCTGCTGAGCCAGCAGCCTTTCCTGTCACTGGTACTCACTTGCCTCAAGGGACAGGATGAGCAACGGGAAGGGCTTCTCACATCCCTGCAGAATCAAGTTACTCAGGTCAAACAAGCACAGAACCATGAGCACCCTTTGTTAGGGGTGTGTGTCAGCAGTTTTATGTGTGTATGATGGTGTAAAACTGGGAAAATTATAGTGCAGGGGTGTGCCAAAAGGAGCAGTCCAAGGAGGGGAGAATGGGGAGGTGTTTGTTCCCTTTTTTGAATGTGAATACATCTTTTTTTTCTGAATTTATTACAGAGAAATACAATGAACTGGAGTCTGATTTCAGTTCTTTCCAGGAAAAACAATAAAGGTGTTAGTCCTGAGAGGAACAATCTTCCCAGTCCCTGTCTTGATCCTAAAGAGTTTTTATAAGCTTGAAGGTGCCCTTCTTGGGAAAACCCATCACCTTCTCCAGCTGACAGAGATTGAGCTTTCATATTTTAAAAAGCACCGTTCCTGGTCCCAGCCTGGCCATTGCCTGCAGCTCTCCTTGGGTTTCTTGTGCTGACTCACAGGCTCTGCTCATCCTGCTCCAGAGTTCCTGCTCCCACCCAGCTCAGCTCCAGCCTCCAGCAGCACCTTCAGGCTGCCTTTGATCTGAACATGTCCCGTGCCCAGAGCAGTGGGTCACGTCTCCTTTCTCTGACTTCAGTTTCTGTGACCTGCTGTGACAGTGACAATTGGTGCCTGTGTGGCTTTTTTTCCCATATTGCCCCTTGGCTCAGGTCAGGCTACAACACAGGTCCACATCCTGGGGAAATTCATTCCTTTGATGGTTTTTTTCCCTCAGTTTCTGCTGCTTGGGCTTTCCTTTCACTGTGAGGGTTCTCCTCTGAAATGCAGCTGGTCCAGGTTCCTTGAGCTTCTGGTAGTTTCTCATCCAGAGATCCCACTGAGAAGCTGCATCCAGTGCAAGAGATCTCTTGACTTACCTAGGGTGAAATAGGCTGTTTCAAACAATATTGGTAAGAAATGCACATCAAAGCTGATTTTTTTTTTTGCTGCAGCAGGAAGATGCAGTCACACCACTGACAGCAGATCATCAGCTCTTTACAAATTAACTTTTTCCTCCCACCAGTTTGTTTAATCCGCTCAAAGCCTTAAACAGGCAAGAGGATAAAAAGGTCTTTTATGATTCCTGATAGATAATGGTCACAAATACTTAAAGGGAGAACATCACAGGAGGAAAGCAACCTTAATCCAATGCTTTTCCTTAGATCCTCAGTACCTGGAGGGAGGAACGGCACCAGGACGATGCCAAAGGCAGATGATGCACCAAGCCCTGCAGCTGCACCTCAGCCTGGTAACAAACACTCGTGGGTATCCTGATGTTATGGAAAGATGCAGCAGCTGCTCTGGAGGAGGTGGTGAGGAGCAAGGAGCCCCAGAGTACCCAGCTCCTGGGGGGACGGGGTAGCTGTTGATTCCTGAGGGATCCGTGCCCCAGAGGAAGCCCAGGGAGCCCAGGGGAGCTGCTCTGAGCCCTGCAGAGCCTTGTTCCTGCTCTCTTGTTTTGCAGGTGGGTGGCACGTTTGAGACAGTACAGAGGAGCACCCAGTGCACCACAGACTGGGCCCTTCTGCTCCTCCAGGTCGTCACCTCAGGGACTGTGGATCTGCAGACCAACAGGTACGTCTGCACTGTTCAAACAGCTGATTTGTGTCCTCGGGGCTTTAAGTTTAGGTTGCACGTAGGTTATTGTTACAGCTTTTTATCCTGTTACTGCTTGAGTGGGATTTAGGGCTCTGTGCTGGCCTGGGGTAGGGGTACCTCCATTTGGGAAAGCCCTGCAGGTGCCATTCACACCCCTCCTTACCTGTCCCATGCCTGAGTGCTCCCCTGAGTCTGTAGTTCCTGATGCCTCTGCTGGCAGCCTGTGCTGTCTGTGGCCCTGAGCTGGGGTTTGGGATGAGATTTGTGTGCACCTCATGTACAGTGGGGCTCAGGAACGTGAACTCAAGTGTGTGTGTATGCACAGAAATCCCTGAGAAACCCAGCCCGGCCAAGAGCTTCCTCTGGGGCCTCTGCCATGAATATCTGCCCCTGGATCTCCTGGCAGTTGTGGTTCCTCAGGGTAACACTTGCTTTTGCCCCCAGGGAGTTGTTCACGACTGTGCTGGACATGCTGGGGGTCCTCATCAACGGGACACTCACCTCAGACCTGTCCAGTGCCTCCCAAGGAGAACAAAAGGGCTTAGATGAATTTAGTGAAGAAATTAAAAGTAAGGGTCGTGTCTCATTTTCAACATTTCCTTTGAATTGCCTTCTGCCCTCATCTTTTAATCATGTCATTCCTAGTGTCTGCAAAGGCCTCTTGGAAATAGAGGGGAGGCTAAAACACACCTAGTCATAAAAAGGAGAAAAAGAAGAAAATAAAAATACAGGCATGTGGAGGTGGGAAGACACTTTTAGGATTTTCTTCATATTCAATTAAAATTGGGGACCCTGCAAGATGCTCAGTTGCTTTTGTTTATGTTTGAGACACTGATTTTGTATTGTGTATTTTCTACACTGTGTTTAAACAAGAGATGAAAAGAAAACTTACATTCTTTAAACAAAGAGCAAACCCCCCCCAAAAAAAAAACCTTGCAAAGCCACTCGCTTAAATTTAGTAAAAGTACAAGGAAATGATTCATGCAGAAACGGGACATTTCTAATAGTGAAAGCAGTGCTGTGTTCTCTCCTGTCCCCCCTGTGCTCCGGGTGCCCTGTGACAAACCCCACTGGTGACACATTCTGATTCTGTGGGTTATTTTCTTTTTTGATCAACACCAAGAGCCGTGGTGGCTAATTTACCATCTGCCAGGTGTGGGCTCACATTTTTTTCAGCATTTCTGACATGTGCTTAATTTTGCGTAGGATTGTCTTGTTTCTCCCAGTTAATGAGTTACAGTTTTATAAGGATTTACTGGCTCCAGAGGGCAGCAGTTTGTTAGGATTTGAGAAACACTATCGAGGCTTCTCCAGAATTATGCAGGAGAAGTTAACAATTTTTTTTCCAGTTATTAATGTTAAATATTTTTTTCCGAAGCTCCAAATACAACTACTCTGTATTTTAACTGTGTAAAAGTCTTCAGAATATACCAGAGAGTGGCTAAAAAGTTTAAGGAAATGCTGCTTTTGAGAACAAATGTGTAAGATCACCTTTGTAAGTCTGATGGAAAGATACATGATTTTTATCAAATAGCAGAGAGTGCTTAAATTGCTACCATCTCATTATAAAATTAGCTTGACATATTAAGCTGTTCAAATCATGCTTTGGATCTGACATGCAACTTTTGTTCAGCAGTGATAGTGAGATGTTTTATGTGGCCTAGAACATACAGCAGCCCACAGGCTTTGTCCTTTTCATTCTCATTTGCAAGTGGCAGTCTTAAGTTACTTTTCCCATTACATTTTCAGGCCAGAAATGTGATTTAATCCAGACTGTGCCTTTGCAGAGATGTGTTTATTGTGGTTGTGTAGAGCTGCTGGATTAGCAGTGCCCTGTACCAGCAATGCTCTTAGGGAAGGCAGAGGATAGACTCGTGTTTTGGGTGGTTTTCAGGTGGTTCCAGGGTGGACTCAGTGGGCTCCTTTGTGCCAGTGCACACGAAGCAAGCCCTGTCTGAGCTGCTGCAGCGGTGCTCAGGCTCTGGGATGCAGCCACCCTCCATCCCCGGGATCCAACCACCCTCCATCCC